TTCTGAAGATGACATATTAACTACCTGATTTCAAACTCCTCTCCAGAAATATGAACTTCCCACCTCTATCATGAGAAAAGAAAATATTTGAGACACAGTGAACAAATTGTTAAATTACTGTCATCATGGAAGAACAGTTGCCATGCACCCACTGTGAAGTAACTATGACAGTGTGACATCATCATTAATCCAGCCAATTGGGATTGAGAACACAAAAATCCAGTAAACAATTAACTTTCAACAATGCAACACAAAGTTTCACCTTCAACAATGGACACAGAATGTAGGCTATTGTTGGAACAACAAAACTATGTATTGTTGACATTGCAAAGAAGACAATGACAACACTACTGTTATAAAGCAGAGGTAAAATAACTATCTATTGTTGAAAATTCTTTATATAAAAAAAAAAAAAAAAACCTGCCTCTTTCCCTGACTAGGAAAACAGACAATTTCCCTGAGTAGGGCAAACAGACAATTCTTCAAGAAAGGATGAAACAGTCTTTTTCTCTCTCTCAATAAAATGCATTGCTACATGCATGTTATTTTTCATATCATTTTTTCAAAGAGCAGCATATTAAACGTAATCACAACTTTTTATTGCAACTAAGTCAGAGAGACCATCCTAAGAGAACACATACATGGACCCATTACCCATGTCTAATCCAGATCCCATTAACTTTAATGGGAATCTTATTATATACAACATGCCGCATTACAAATCTGATCAGCATCAACATCCAATCTAACCTTATCAAACTAACAGAATATGTGAGAACCAGTTCTCAACTGCTCTGGGGGAAAGGAAAAAAAGAAAAAAAAAAGACACGTGCTGGCCTCATGGACTCTGACACAAAATGCCATTGCACCCTCCCCGCCAGCACAGTACTCAACTATTTCTGGCAAATTGACATTTACAAAGCTACAACACTGTTACCGTGCCAACATTCTTGTGATTCTCAATGATGGCCTGCTTCCTCTACTGACAGTTTCATACAGATGCCCTGTTCAGACAAAATCAATATCCTGCCCGCTCAGGGTGCATTACAGGTAACCAGACACCATATTGCACTGATTCTTTCAATTTTAATTTCCAAAAGGGGTGATAAAAGGGGGGGGGGGGGGGAGGAAAGGGGAAAAAAGAAATTAAAAAAAAAAAAAATTTATGAAAAAAAGACCCCCCCCCCCCCCTTTTTTTTTTTTTTTTTTTTTTAGAATATCCACTTCTTTTGGAATAAATTTCATTCACACAATCTTCATTCCTTTCTTTTAATTGTGTCTGTAACAATAGACAAAGAAAGGGCCACATCAAATTGAACCTGGACTTCTAGACTGAACATAAGCCCAAAAAGTTTAAAACCAGCTGCGTTAAGACCAGAACTATTTCAAACTGAAAATCAGTCCAAAATGTGTCTAATGAACCATACGTGTGTTTTTGTTCATGTTTCAGGTGTGACTTGCAGAAGAAATGGGTTGCAAAAACAATGTGCTCCCCCCCTCTTCCACCCATTTCTTTAGCGTTCAAGAAGTAGCTAAAATCCTTCCTCAAGTACCTTGTGTGGTTGGAAAGACAACCCCATATGTTATAACGCACTTGTTGAAATAATGGAAATACATTTAAAATAGGTTAAAAAATCTAAATGCCCTTGAAAAAAACGTATAATCACATTAGGAACTGGTTTTCTTTTCCTTTCTTTTTCAGCCTTACTGACAAAATATCAGGTGCTTTCTCTCAAACAACCAAACAACAGCACCTTGCAGCTAAATAACCAGGTGTTCCTTTTTATTCTCCTCTCCAAGTAGAGCCTGTCAGGTTGTCTCAGTCTTAAAGCTCACAACACATTTTACTATTTGAGTAGGACATACTTATAACCAATAAAATGGCATGGAATTTGTTGGAGGAAAGATCTGCACATTTTGGTCAAGAGGGGATGGGCTGGGAGGCCAGGAAGAGGGGGGGGGGGGGAGTGAGGCATAAAACAATCAGTTTTGTACCCTCTACCTTAAAAGTGCTTTCTAGGTGAGAAGGCCAATCTCTGCCCAACAATCATTTAACTTCCCCACTTAGTGAGGGTGAAAAAACAGAGATGTAAACCGTTACCTAACAGGAACCATACGGACACCTTTCAGGAGTAGTATACCAGCCAATTTATGTCTTGGGTATTCTAGAATCCACTCATTATGGCATAACTGGCATTCCATGCCCTGGCGCCTCTTGCTAAGATACATCGTTGTGCGATCTTTCATGATCATTACCTGAGCGATAATTTATTGAGATCTCTATAATTATTTTGTTCTAACTCTCCGTAATGGGGCTATGATTCTGTAACTTACATCTTTGGAGATGTTCTGGCCTTATTACAAGCCAAATATCTCGTTCGAACAGCTTAGGGTCGTCTTCTATCAAAAGGTAGACATAATAACAGTAAACATTTAGAAACTCAGAATGTATATATATCAGGTTAGTGCATCTTAGGGGCCTTACTTCTTGCGCTGTCCCATTTGGGCCTCCCAGCGCATTTATGAGGATGGTCCTTTAAACACTACACCTTTTACAATTTGATAACCTCTGTCAGGCACATTTTATATCTAGTTACGTTTACTCTGACTTCTTTACATAGTTTTATGGGAGAAACTGGCTCCAACTGCTCTACAGATAGAAATATAACAGTAAAACAGAGCAAACATTTCTCTTAGATATGGAGATCAAACTTATCATTAACACCTGGCACAGTCAATTGTGGCCAATAGTTATTATTCAGGCTGGTGATCTGATCTAACCACAAATAGTTATAAAACCTACAGGAGCCCTTGCCTGGGTCTTAAAAGTTAATACCCAGCATAAAGTTGAGTTTTAAATCAAGCCTAGGGTTATTATCTTCTTGCTGTGAAGACAATCTTGGCTCCACTCCTGTGCATGGACAGAGGGGTATGAGACAGGAACCGGTTTGGAGAAATTTGATTTTGAGCAAAAAATGTCCAGACTACATCAAAATTTTACTTAGGTTTTGTGCTTTTTGTCATGTTCAGTTAAATAAGAGCCTGCAGTATAAAAGTTTTTTTTTTTTCAGAAAAAGACCCCCCCTCTTGAAATCACTGGCTACAGGGCCCAAAATATACATCATGAACTCAAATGTTTACAGATAATTTGGTTGTATTAACACTTCATCACCTCCTAGAGCTGGCTACATCATTTACTGTGGTTAAATGTGAATTGGATTGTGGTTGGAGTGTAGACCTGGTTCACCTCCATGTTTACCCCCTAACATGTGGTTAACCAAAGTCAAAACCACAAGGCATAAATACAGGAAATGTGCACTTACTCTTGGAGTCACGGCCAGCTAAGATTTAACTGCTTACCAGGCTGTAACAGTTCTTTGATTAAATGTCTGAAAAACCTTCACTCAAATGGACATTGTAACTGTACAAAAAAGCAAACTTTTTTTAAAAATTCACATCAGTTGATTAGTTATATTTTACATGCCTTTTCTTT